GGGACCGGGGCTGGCTTCCCTCTGCCCAAGCTTTGTCCAGAAGGATGTCCAGAAAGACGTCCGGTCTAATTAGCGTATTACCCTTTTATTATTATAGATGACCAAGACAACCCAGGTCCCTGCTTTCCTGCAGCTTCAGTGTCGAATGGTTTGCCTTTTGCTTCATAACTAAGGAGTCTAGTGAGCAGAGGAATGGTCTCAAATGACTGCAAAACTACAGCAAAACATCTACATGTTACTTGCCACATTTGCCATAAACAATAGTCCACAAAAAATAGTTGCAAACCAGAATGGTGCTTTGAGCAGCTCCGGGTAGTACTACGGGCTGGTTACAATGTTAATAAATTAATGCATAGTTTGGCTTGAAAAATATTCTAACATTGTGAGCCTTAAGTCTGTGATAATCCGTCTTGAAGGTAAAACACCTCTATTTTCTGTACTTGTTTGAGCATTCTTCTAACATTATCTTCAAAGCCAGGCATTTGCACGGCATTGGGGCAGCCAGCCATAGTGCTTATGAGAAGCAGCATTGTGTGGCAATTAAGAACAGGGATCTTGGAGACAGACTGATGGGGTTTGAATCGCATTCTGCCTCTTACAATGTGGATTAACTATGGATAGATTACGTAACCTCTCTGTGCCTTCGTGTCTTCATCTGTGAAATGGGTATGCTAGTAACACTTGCACCACATGAGGTTGTGTGGGGATTCAATGGAACGTTCCAAGTGCTATATTAATATATTTGCATACAGCGTGTCACTCTTTGAAAGGTATTATATTGTCTAGAGTCGGATCCTGCCGGACAAAGTATTGGCAGCCCTAGCTTTGCAATTGTAATCCTGACCTACTAACAACTGTGCCAAATTGCATCAGCAGAGAGCAATGTCTGGCGATGCCTGCAGTCCTGCCTGCTAATGGAACAACTGGAACTGACTTTGACTTGGCACCCAACCCCGTCATGAATCCGTGCTGTCATTTCAGCAGCATTGTGCCTCTTGTCCCTGTTGTCAGTGCTTGTGCGCTAAATACTCATAAAAGGCAGCCTGCTTCCTTCTGGGCAGTAAGTGAAATGCCTTGCCACGTGGTCAGGGACACGGATATCTGGATGGTATGCTTGTTAACAGAGGAGTCTGTGTCTGCCTGCATTAGAGAGAGACACTCAGTCTGGGTTTTGTACGTTAGCGTTTTGCAATCCAGGGTCACTTCTAGGTGGGGCCCTGTACTGACAACAAAGCAGGTATGAACAGTATTTATGATCTCAGTGATGCGATGCATGGGCCCAATGCACGGCTTTATTTACTCAACAAATATTATAAATATGTCTCAGGCACTGTGCTGAACCCGGACACACTACCTCCAGATAGTAGGAATTCAGATAAATGTGATAAAGCCGTGAGGAGGCAGTGGTATGCAAGCAAGTGGTGGAAGATGGAATGCGGCCGAGTGAAAAGTTATTGGATGTACTTTTGTGGTGTCTTTATTATGAACCTTTCGGAGACTGGACTGATGTGACTGCCATCTGTATACTCTTCAGTCAACAAGGTTTCAGAGTGCTCGCTATTTTCAAATGCTTTCTGAGTATCAGATTCTTCTATGTCAGACGAGACTCACACACATGAGTGACTCACACACATGCTGCCATGTGACCCAGTCTACCCAATAAAAGGAAGGACACTGGCCTTAGCCGGTTTGGCTCAGTGGATAGAGCCTTGGCCTGTGGACTGAAGGGTCCCGGGCTCGATTCCAGTCAAGGGCATATGTAGGCTTGATCCCCGGCCCTGGTCGGGGCATGTGCGAGAGGCAACCAATCAATGTTTCTCTAGCTCTGTTCCTCCTCTCTTCCATTCTGTCTAAAAGTCAATGGGAAAATACCCTCAGGTGAAGTTTAAAACAAAAAAACAAAAAAAAAGGCTGAAACCGGTTTGCCTCAGTGGATAGAGCATCGGCCTGTGGACTGGAGGGTCCCAGGTTCGATTCCGGTCAAGGGCATGTACTTGGGTTGTGGGCACATCCCCAGTGGGGGGTGTGCAGGAGGCAGCTGATCGATGTTTCTCTCTCATCGATGTTTTTAGCTCTCTATCTCTCTCCCTTCCTCTCTGTAGAAAATCAATAAAATATATTTTTTTTAAAAAAAGGAAGGACACTGTATGTGTTGGAGCATTAATAACTGCACTCTACACTAAAGGTGTCACTAGTACTATCTAAATTCTTTTTAGTCAGATTTTTTT